GCAGTTGGCAGGCATCGAGGGAGTGGCTGTTTTTGGTTCCAGAGGACAGGGGAAGGCTGGGAAGTGTAGGGAGGTTGTTTGTGGGAGGGTAGAGGGCTGGATATGGCAGGAGGGGGCAGAAAGAGGGGCTAAGGGCTGCCTTACCTATGCAAGGCTAGCCACGTGCAGTACCGTGGCCAGCCCTGTAATATGCAGGACAGCCCCAGCCCCCCTATTCCACCCCCTCTTACCATCCCTAGCCATCTCCAGCATCGAACCTACCACAACAGCTCTGTAGGGCCTGCCTGGCTCCCCGATCCTTTCAAGCCAAAAACACCCATCCCCGATGCCCTCAAAGCCCATATCCCCCCAATTGCAGCCTATTGGTTGTTTTGGTTTCTTTTTTGCTGATATTTAGTTTATATTGATTGTGTAGTGTTGCTGAAGCATAAATTATAAGATTAGGGTTGGAGGTTGTAACCGATAGGATACCATATGTTCCTGCAAGGGTAACAATTAGGTCGAGTTGGCGAGTGTTATGAGAATAAATGAGATTTTGGTGGACAAAGAGGGGTATGGACCGATTCAAAGATAGTTGTTTCAGTTAATTTGTGGACATAGAAGAGAATTGGAATAAGGCGTTCTAGGGCAGGCAGCACATTAATGTTGCTGCCCCAGTTAAAAGCAAAAAAGAATGAAACGTGGTTCGTGGTGGATGGGAAGCCAAGTTTGGGATGATGGATTTGCCTTGATGACATGTTTAAGTGTAGGGCATTTCCAGAAGCGGAAGAGGAAGAGAGATAAGAAGAGTACGTGTCAAAACCTTTGTTATAAAGGTTTTTTTTTTTTTGGGGAGGGGGGGGGGGGGGGGGGCCGGCGAGGGCGGCAATCGTCTATTATGCATGTGATAGAGGATAGATTAGGGAGAGAGGCTATCCTCTTTGGAGAAGTTTAGGATGTGCCTAGTATGGTTCTTGCATTCCAACCTAATGGCTTGTGACTCACAAAAGCGATTAATCTGGATTGGGTGCAGTTTGCAAGCAACCAGGAGTTCTTTAAGCTTATCTGTGGGGAAGGTTATCATTTCAGCTAACCATTGATTTCTATGCAGAAAAGACATGCCGATAAAGCATCGCCAATATGTTGGGAAGGAGGGACCAAGCACTTATAATTTGTTTGGCTTCCCATGGGTAATGCAGGTAAATATTAATAGCTTTTTGTTATATTTTGTATATATGTGTTTAATTTTGATATGGACTGTTTTGCTTATAATATAGGCTTGGATGTATGAGTCGTCTCCGTCCTGGCTAGGGGGGGGGGGGGGGGGGGGGGGGGGGGGGGGAGGAAGGGAGGGGGGTGGGGGCTGAAGGAGACTTTGGATGAGCCTGCAATTTCCTAGGATGTTGCAGTGGCACCCAGAAGGTGCCCATTAGGACTAGACAAAATAGAAATGAAAATTCAAGTGGCTTGGATAAGATTAAAGGATTATTTTTTGAATAAGTATTGCTTTTAAATGAAGCTTAAATTTGATTGATTTTTTCTTATTGCAACGAGTCGTTCGTCCATCATCACCCTACTAGAGGTGAATGGGAGCGAATTATGTTACATCGTTGTATCACTGGACGATGTAACAGATAAGGGGATATACACCTAATGCGAGACTGAAAGGGTCACGCATTTGACTATAACTGCAGGGCACGGTTGAGCATTGGGGTTGAGGCCGAAGCTTAGTTGGTGGGAGGGAAGAGGATGAAGAGATGGATGCTGAGGTTCGTACGCCTCCACCCAATTGGCAAAAAACGTACACCTTGTGAATTTGGGCCTTTTTTATAGTGAGCACTCGTTGATTTCAGAAATGTTATCAATTCAACTTTCAAATTTATCAACAATTTTTCATCAATTTAACTTCCAAAAAAATATATTAGCCTCTTAATAATGTTGACAATGTTAAATTGATAAAATTAGATGAATAGTAAAAATGTCCGGCTGTGTTTGTTTTATTTTTGAAGTAGTATTTTTTAAAAATTAGAATTGAGTTGTTATTACAAAGTAAGATTTAAAAATTAATAAAAACACCTCATAGGTTTGTTAATTTAGCTAAACACCCCTTACAATAAAAAATTTATAAATTAACAAAAACACCCTCACACACCTACATTTGTCAGATTCCTACTACTACCGTCAGAAGATGGCTGAAACTGACAAATGTGGGTAGATGGAGGTGTTTTTGTCAATTTATAAATTTTTTTGTTAAGGCTATTTAATTAAATTAATGAACCTATGAGAGTTTTAAAAGGTTGAATAAAATAAGATTGAATTTTGATAATAGATGTATTTTTGGTGGAATAGGAATAGGATTGGGGAAAAAAAGTAAAGCAAACAGGCGCGTCGTATCCTTAAAAAAGGGAGGTTAGGATCGCATGTTCAAAACTAGTCGCTGCTCACTACAAATAAGCCAAACACATGAAGGTTGGAATCGTATTTTCAAAGCTAGCCAGTGCCCTACAAAAAAAGTCAAAACACATGAGAGTATGCTGTTAAAAAACCCACTACTTTCAAACGATTGTATAGTTGATGTTACATAATATGTAGAATTATTACACCTTAGAAAATGAAACATCACAGATATGAAAGTTTGTAAGAAATTGTATAAAACATAGTTGATGTTTTGTTTTTTCGTAGCAAGAAAATGAAAACCATAAGTTTTACCATCAAAACATAATTATTTATAATTAATAAATTTGTACTCACTTTAAAACTTAGTTGATGAGAAAATATATAATTATTATGTCTGAAAAAATTGGGCTGACATCGAGTCTTGTCAGTATGGGCGGTCAGAGTTTATGTAGGTTCTGCAGCCATTCAGACGCAGTCACATCGCATACTGACGTGAGCGACATGCTCCTGTCAGTGCAGTGGGTGTGCGCCAGATTGGCGAAAGGCTGGAGATGTTTCACGTGTCCAATCCCTGCACAAGGCGAGGAAATCACTTGAACAGGTGAGCAACGGGACATAAAGAAGGATTTGCAGTGCAATCTGACCAACTCACAGATTCAGTAATCATTACCTCAATTCATCCTACTATAAAAAGAGGGTTCCTCTCCCGTTCGTGGAATTAGCTAATTTCACTCTATAATAGCATATTCTCTCTCTCTCTCCCTCTTGTACTCTCAAAGCTAAAAATCAACTCGCTAGACGCGACCTATTCTTACATATTAATACAATATCAGTGGACGTAAGATTCACTTGTTTAAGCATCCGAACCACTTTAAACATTGTTCTTCATCTCTTATTCAACCCAATATCTCCATATACACGTGTGTCTTCTGAGTCAGCTTAACATTTCTCATATGTAGTTGGTGTCAAAATCAAGCATCAACAATAATAATATATTTCATTAGGTAAAACTTTTTTTCTTTTTTTTCATATAATATAATCATGACATGATCCTAATGATATATAGATGACACGATATGGTTAATCTATTCGAAGCTTTTTTCTTAAAACAAATAAATACATCTGTGAATAAATATGCGTATATGACACATCCATTATACCTAAAATTGTATTTGAAACCATGTCACATGTGACCAATCCATGTCCTTTTCCAATTTCGTCAATGAAGGAATTGTCATTGTCATTGTTGGTGCTGTCTGACAGTCTTTTGCGCTGTTTCTGGGGCATTGGGTAGGCAGCTACAACTATAAACAAACTTGGAAGCATGTACAAGAACATAATTTTTTCTAGTAAAATCTATTTTCTTTAGTAGAATGAAATAAGTTGATTTGTCCCAAACTGTTTTCGTGGCTTACCAACCCCATTTGAATAACACTTCACCTTCACATAAAACATAGAAAAATAAAAGTAAAAAATCTCCCACAATTTCAAAAGTTAGATATATTTCCATTATAATAGTTGAATGGATCTAGTTGACCATACTTTATATTATACAATCATTTTTAATAGCAAAAGTGGATGTATCATGTACATCTGGGTTTAAAATGCAATTTCCAAAATGGTGGCAAGAGTGGATCTTTCATATTATGTTACCAATTTTAGGTTTAAGAGCATCTTCTGTCACCTGCTTTCCTGGTTGTCCCATTTCCACTATAACATCAACATAAGAGCTTATTTCATTTATTTATCCCAACAAAATCACTTAATATGAAGCACATATGCTATTATTGAAAGATACTTATACCACTTGAAGACGGGTTTATTTCATTCACCCCAATGAGGTCGCTTGATGTAAAATGTTGCTAGTAAAAGGTATTAGAACCACTTGATATATAATACTTTTGAATAACAGCGGAAGCATTTCATATCGAACAATTTTAGAGGGTAAATGAAATAAAGCATCGCCATAATAAATTAGAGGCTTGTTTCTGAAATTTGTAATAGTACTAAACTTACAAATTAAGTTTATGAATCGTATATAAGGCCAACTAGAGTGGAAAATGGGTGTCCAAAATTCAATAAAGTTGAAAATACTGAAGATTTCTCAAGGCATACTATCAAAATTTACCTCTGCTGTTGAATAGGTTAAGAAATATGCTTGTCTTGTGTCGTGCATTAGTATGTAGATCTAATGTCATAAGCCGATTCCATCCAAAATCTTCTCTTGATTTGTGTTTTTTTGAGATATAACCACATGTGAATGAAAATAAATACATAAAACACTTTGGATTTTTAAATACATACATAAAACACTTTGGATTTTTAAATACATACATAAAACACTTTGGATTTTTAAAAGCTCAAGAGAGCTCAGATCAGAAGAGGATTCTAATCTTAGAGAAATTGTTCTTCATGAAAAACTAGGCCAGACCAAGATTTCCACCCAACCAAAACTTCTAAACCCTAGCTGATTTATTATCCTTAACTAAAAAGCTTACCTAGTACCTCCAGATATGAATCATATGGCTTACACAAATGAAGTTGCATACCGTTTTTTTTTTTCTTTTTTTTCAATGAGAATACATTTGTGTGATTATCTACTGTACAAGGGAACACAATGAGGGAATACATAAACAAAAATAAGTAATTTAAAAAGAAAAGAGAGAGAGAGAGAGTTCTGATCAAGAATTTATCTGGCCAATATAAGATGATTGTTGCCTTTTGATGAAATTCATTATGCTTGATCCATCGCCTTGCATCACAATCTTACCATCTTCCATATAAAGTGCCCCATCCGCATATTCAAGTTCTTCTAATCGATGTGTCACCCATAAGGCCGTTACATCTCCAGAATCACCCAAGGAGTTTTTGACTGCTTTAATCACCCCAAACTGGTATAAATAATGAGAGAAAAACAATCTTGTTCAGAGAAAATGTTGAAATTGTCAACAAACCACTATTAAGAGGTAGCGTTGAAAAAATAAGCAAACAACATACAAGAAACTGTGCACATGATTCATCACCATTATAATCACCCAAATTGATTAATGTTGAAGCTAAACTGCAGATCAATGATCTTAAAGAGGTTTGTCTAAGTGTATATTATTTTTCCGGAGCGTTGAATTAATTCGCAAATTAATGTGAAGCTGCAGCATTTAATCTTATTATTGTAGATGAATCTCATATCAAGTTCCTTAATCTTATTATTGTAGATGAATCTCATATCAAGTTCCTTAAGGCTATGTCAATATTTGTAATTCTCGTTAGTAGTGCTCTACGATTAATGAATTTATGCAAGTGCAAAAGCTGGTGCCACAGTTAAACAGTAATATCGACACCAAAATCAAAAAGAAAATTGTGCTTTTAACAATTCTTAGCTATAAAAGAGTTTCCATCATCACATTCCTTTTCGTCCCAATTACACATACTAAGCATACTCCATTTCATGACGATCATTTAAATTACCTGATCATTTTCGTCCAAAAAGGTTGTGAGCTCATCCAGTAACAACACTTTACATGCTTCAGCTAAAGCACCAGCAATTGCAACCCTCTGTTTCTGGCCACCACTTAGAGTTTGAACTGGTCTCTGAAAAATGCAACAGACATATATTTAAGAATTTCTGCAGATACCCCAATCACCTAAACCTAAATACTTGCACAACCTACCTGCATATACTTAGACATGCCAACGGCTTCCAAAGATTTTGACACCCTGGATCTGACTTCGTCAGGGGTCAGATTGAACTTACCAAGGCCAAATGCCACATCAGCTTCTACAGTAGGCATAACAACCTGAAACATAAAACATGTGAATGTAACCCACACACAATTTTTTGTTATTTCAAATATAAGCACAAACACATAAAAGACATGGTCATTAACTTATATAAACTTTCACTCAATCTTTTTAACGCATGAATTTTCAATTGATCATTTGAAAAAAAAAAAAAAAAGCATAAGTATAATAGAATTCTAGCAAGTTTGTCTTAAAACATAACTGCCGTCGACAGGGACCATACCCATTAGTAATATAAAGGAGAAGGAAATTCCTATTTCTTTATTCATTTAATACATGGTGTTACAACTCTCTCTCAGTCACTCCAATACTCCTTACCCTTCATGTGCTGACAAGACAACTATCAAAGACCACCTCTGGCTAGGGTTTTCTACCAGAATGCAACAGCAGCAACTCAAAACCTCAACACCAAGGCGGAGAACATAAGTATGAACAATTCTTTAGCAATTTATATTGAGGTCACTGTTGACAATTGAACCAAAGGCTAAATCTCCCAAAGCTGAATGCCATTTACTTGCCACCAAAAGCAACCTTCACCAGAAAAGTATGAACCTTTCACTTGATTTAGTAATGAAAAACCATCATACAATATCACCACTTGTTTCCAATTTTCTTGAACTATGGCAAAACACCTCCTTAGCTAGTAGATTATGGGACAAGAGACTAATCTCATTGTCCAGGCTATATAGGCAATTGTACAAGAGAAATATGGAGGAAAGTATAGATAACCAAAAGTTACCACAAGAGAACAATTTGATTCAATTAGGAGTATCTAGGAAGCAAAATGGTGCAAACTCAGCAAAATGAAGGTATTAGTCATATTGTCTCAGCTTATGTGAATGAAAAGTTCTGTGCAAACATATCTATCTTCATTTTTTTTTTTTTTCTCTTCCTTCTGTTTTACTGCTTTTACATTTCCAAGTCCTGTTATCATCTCTTTATATTGCATGCCAAATGAAATAAGAAGAAAGTTAAAGAAATGATTAGCTGACTGAGTCTTCATAAGTTATCATGTGGAAAGCAAAAGGGCAAATATGGTGTCATAAAGATAACAGACAAAGTATGCTTTTTTTTAAAAGTCATGATCAAGCACACAAAAATGCAGTAGAAAGAAGCAGATATATATACATTCGGGGAAAAGCTAACACTGATAGGTGTGTTGCTACTAATCTGATGACTAGTCCACAAAGTTTCCCAAACTATCAACAAAAATAATTTCTTCATAAATGCAATCAAATGAAACCACATTAAATAAACAGTAAACAGGAAATTTTGAACTAGTAAGAAATATAGAAAATGAAAAACAAACCTGATGGTCAGGATTTTGGAAAACAAAACTCTTAGGCCTCTTAACATACACGGTTCCATTAGTTGGTTTCAGAAGACCAGCCAAGATCTGCATACACAAAAACCCAGTACAATCGTTATAACTCATTTCTCAGGTTGCATGCCAGAACACCAAAATTTATCAAAGCAAACCATGACTGCAAACATACATGGTAATCATCTAACTGGATATAACCAGGGTTCTCCTATAGTACTAGCCAGGTATTACCGGACTGATACATATGTTAAATGAAATAATATTTTTGGTAATATGTAACAATATTTCAGTTATCATAAATGATTTTCCATTAACTATTTGCTAATATATGTGACTATGGTTACCAAACTATTGCTACTTGTGATCAAAACATCAGTACTTCTAACAAAAATATCAACCCAATAACATTATCAAATCCATAAGATGAGATGGTATGATGCATCATACTACAATATTAGTTCCATAACATTATCCAGTCAATATTTTGATTAAAAGTGAGAGTGTTATAGTTTCATATAACACTATATCCACAACAAACGTTAATATATAAAATACTTAAACAAATGACAGCTGAATTTTTTATTTTTTATTATTTTATTTTTTTTAGGAATGACAGCCAAAAAAATTGTTTATGATTACTCAAGCATTGATTCACATAATAAAAATATTGTTATTTTTAAAATTGTTCGAGTGGGTTAGAGCCACGAGTTTGTTACAAAACTAAACAATGTTTTAATTACAAGTACCGATGCTTTTTTATTACATTCAAAAATATTTTAGTTTCATAAACGAATTTTCAGTTACCATTTACTAATATATGGAACCACCTTCTATATCACGGCTACCAAACCATTGTTACAGGCTTCCAAAACATCATTACTTCTAATCAAAATATCGACCCGATAACGTTACCATACTCATGTGTAGTATGACGCATCATACTACAATACTGACTTGATAACATTACCAGATCGATATTTTGATTACAAATAAGAATATTATGATTTCCTATAACAATGTTTCCATGAACGCCATATAAAGTAGTTAAATATATGGTAACTGAAACAAAAACAAAAAAATTGTTATGATAACTAAAACATTGTTACATGTAATCAAACACATGCTACGCGTAATAAAAAAAAATCAGTCTAATACATTATCAGGTTGGTTACTTAGCAAATCCCTAGTATGACCCATGTAAATAATAATCAAAACACTAACAAAAACCGACATGAAGAAAGCAAAATGAAAACGCAAGAACCTTCAAAAGGGTAGATTTCCCACACCCATTTGGCCCAAGAAGCATCCACAACTGCCCAGAAGGAACAGAAAGCGAGCAGTCCTTTAGAATTGGCACCAACTTGCGCTGCCTTGTAGTGATGGAGTAGCTAAGATTTTCACATTCAATGGCTTCAGCTTTCTCAGTGACATCAGTCCTGCACAAACATACATAAATAAGCTTAAACATAGAAGCAAAAGACAGAAAATTACAAAGAGAAACACAAAAAAAATTAAAAGACGGAAAAAAATTGGCATAAATGTGTTTGAGAAAATGCCTAGCTGAAAAATTATGGTTAAGTTTGGACCTGGAAGGAAGGTTGGCGTGGATTGGAGGTACTAGCGGAGGTGTAAAGGCCGGAAGGAGAGAACAGAGATTCATGGTTTGTGAAATTGAGCTCAATCATATCTCATTTTCTCTGCCCACAGGGTTTCAGAATTGTGCTTGTGCAATTCGTTTTTTGGGTTGGGTTGAATTAATCACTGTTTGAGGAAAGTAAAACTATTATAACTTGATTAAAAGAGGAAATTTTATTGTGACCTCTGAAGTTTGCAATTGAGAAAGTAGCCTTCAAATTACTTTGCATTTTTTTTTTTTAAGTTTGAAAAACTGACCTGGCACAGTTAAGAATCACTTAACATGCAAAAAGGGTTAGACCGGAAAGATTTAAACATATATGAGTAGTAGTACAATTAATGGAAATTTGTTTAAATTTTGAAAATTAAAACACGCTCCCCTTCAAAATCGATTAAGCGACGGACTCAACCCAAAATAAGTGATAGATAAAACACCTAACTTCTCTCTTGTGATTTTCGTTCCCATTTTCCGACAAATCTTTGCTCTTTGGATTTTCTTTTCCTTGTTAGTTACACAAACAAACAATGACTAACATTAACAAATCTGAGGAAAACCCAACCCCACTCCTCAAATTCTATAGTCCGGCAATTGTTCAAAGATTGTAGAAGAAGAGGTTCTGGTGGAGCTTTCGATGAGTGAAGTTGCTTTACCAACAGAGGACATATCGGCGACAGAAGAACAGACAACAAGCTCTGTAAATGGGTCTGAAGACAAGGACGCTGACATAAATTCCGATGAGGAGGAGGAAGAACAAGTACTTTCCTTACTATTTTATGAAAAAATTGTTTGTTGGTGCCAATTTGGGGGGCATTTAGTTGGTGTTGGTTATTAGGGTGGTTGTGGCATTTTGTCCAGCAGTTGGCAGGCATCGAGGGAGTGGCTGTTTTTGGGTTCCAGAGGACAGGGGAAGGCATGGGAAGTTGTAGGGAGGTTGTTTGTGGGAGGTTAGAGGGCTGGATATGGCAGGAGGGGGCAGAATAGAGGGGCTAAGGGCTGCCTTACATATTGCAAGGCTAGCCACGTGCAGCTACCTGTGGCCAGCCCTGTAATATGCAGGACAGCCCCCAGCCCCCCTATTCCACCCCCTCTTACCATCCCTAGCCATCTCCAGCCATCGAACCTACCACAACAGCCTCTGTAGGGCCTGCCTTGGCTTCCCCGATCCTTTCAAAGCCAAAAACACCCACTCCCCGATGCCCTCAAAGCCCATATCCCCCCCAATTTGCAGCCTATTGGTTGTTTTGGTTTCTTTTTTTGCTGATATTTAGTTTATATTGATTGTGTAGTGTTGCTGAAGCATAAATTATAAAGATTATGGGTTGGAGGTTGTAACCGATAGGATACCATATGTTCCTGCAAGGGTAACAATTAGGTCGAGTTGGCGAGTGTTTATGAGAATAAATGAGATTTTAGGTGGACAAAAGAGGGGTATGGACCGATTCAAAGATAGTTGTTTCAGTTAATTTGTGGACATAGAAGAGAATTGGAATAAGGCGTTCTAGGGGCAGGCAGCACATTATATGTTGCTGCACTCAGTTAAAAGCAAAAAAAGAAATGAAACGTGGTTCGTGGTGGATGGGAAGCCACTATGTTTTGGGATGATGGAATTTGCCTTGATGACATGTTTAAGATGTAGGGCATTTCCAGAAGCGGAAGAGGAAGAGAGAATAAAGAAGAGTACGGTAGTCAAAACGCATTATTAATCTTATTATTGTAGATGAATCTCATATCAAGTTCCTTAATTATTATTGTAGATGAATCTCATATCAAGTTCTAATCTTATTATTATATGAATATTCATAGTTCCTTAATATTATTGTAGATGAATCTCATATCAAGGCTTAAGGCTATGTCAATATTTGTAATTCTCGTTAGTAGTGTTTACGATTAATGAATTTATGCAAGTGCAAAAGCTGGTTCACAGTTAAACAGTAATATCGACACCAAAATCAAAGAAAATTGTGCTTTAACAATTCTTAGCTATAAAAGAGTTTCCATCATCACATTCCTTTCGTCCCAATTACACATACTAAGCATAATCCATTTCATGACGATCATTTAAATTACCTGATCATTTTCGTCCAAAAAGGTTGTGAGCTCATCCAAAAACACTTTACAGCTTCAGCTAAAGCACCAGCAATTGCAACCCTTGTTTCTGGCACACCTTAGAGTTTGAACTGGTCTCTGAAAAATGCAACAGACATAATTTAAGAATTTCTGCAGATACCCCAATACCTAAACCTAAATACTTGCACAACCTACCTGCATATACTTAGACATGCCAACGGCTTCCAAAGATTTTGACACCCGGATCTGACTTCGTCAGGGGTCAGATTGAACTTACCAAGGCCAAATGCCACATCAGCTCTACAGTAGGATAACAACCTGAAATACCACAACACAATTTTTGTTTATTTCAAATATAAGCACGAACACATAAAAGACATGGTCATTAACTTATATAAACTTTCACTCAATCGTTTTAACGCATGAATTTCAATTGATCATTTGAAAAAAAAAAAAAAAGCATAAGTATAATAGAATTCAGCAAGTTTGTCTTAAAACATAACTGCCGTCGACAGGGACCATACCCATTAGTAATATAAAGGGTAAGGAAATTCCTATTTCTTTATTCATTTAATACATGGTGTTACAACTCTCTCTCAGTCACTCCAATAATCCTTACCCTTCATGTGCTGACAAGACAACTATCAAAGACCAACTCTGGCTAGGGTTTTCTACCAAGATGCAACGGCAGCAACTCCAAACCTCAACACCAAGGCGGAGAACTAGTATGAACAATTCTTTAGCAATTTATATTGAGGTCACTGTTGACAATTGAACCAAAGGCCAAATCTCCCAAAGCTGAATGCCATTACTTGCCACCAAAAGCAACCTTCACCAGAAAAGTATGAACCTTTCACTTGATTTAGTAATGAAAAACCAACATAAATATCACCACTTGTTTCCATTTTCTTGAACTATGGCAAAACACCTCCTTAGCTAGTAGATTATGGGACAAGAGACTAATCTCATTGTCCAGGCTAATAGGCAATTGTACAAGAGAAATATGGAGGAAAGTATAGATAACCAAAAGTTACCACAAGGAACAATTTGATTCAATTAGGAGTATCTAGGAAGCAAAATGGTGCAAACTCAGCAAAATGAAGGTATTAGTCATATTGTCTCAGCTTATGTGAATGAAAAGTCTGTGCAAACATATCTATCTTCATTTATTTTCTCTCCTTCTTTTTTACATTTCCAAGTCCTGTTATCATCTCTTTATATTGCATGCCAAATGAAATAAGAAGAAAGTTAAAGAAATGATTAGCTGACTGAGTCTTCATAAGTTATCATGTGGAAAGCAAAAGGGCAAATATGGTGTCATAAAGATAACAGACAAAGTATGCTTTTTTTAAAAGTCATGATCAAGCACACAAAAATGCAGTAGAAAGAAGCAGATATATATCATCGGGGAAAAGCTAACAATGATAGGTGTGTTGCTACTAATCTGATGACTAGTCCACAAAGTTTCCCAAACTATCAACAAAAATAATTCTCTATAAATGCAATCAAACGAAACCACATTAAATAAACAGTAAACAGGAAATTTTGAACTAGTAAGAAATATAGAAAATGAAAAACACACTGATGGTCAGGATTTTGGAAAACAAAACTCTTAGGCCTCTAACATAACGGTTCATAGTTGGTTTCAGAAGACCAGCCAAGATCTGCATACACAAAAACCCAGTACAATGTATAACTCATTTCTAGGTTGCATGCCAGAACACCAAAACTATCAAAGCAAACCATGACTGCAAACATACATGGTAATCTCACTGATATAACCAGGGTTCTCCTATAGACTAGCCAGGTATTACCGGACTGATACATATGTTAAATGAAATAATATTTTTGGTAATATGTAACAATATTTCAGTTATCATAAATGATTTTCCATTAACTATTGTAATATATGTGACTATGGTACCAAAATATTGCTACTTGTGATCAAAACATCAGTACTTCTAACAAAAATATCAACCAATAACATATCAAATCCATAAGATGAGATGGTATGGCATCATACTACAATATTAGTTCCATAACATATCAGTCAATATTTTGATTAAAAGTGAGAGGGTTATAGTTTCATATAACACTATATCCATAACAAACGTTAATATATAAAATACTTAAATAAATGACTCTGAATTTTTTATTTTTTATTATTTTATTTTTTAGGAATGACAGCCAAAAAAATTGTTTATGATTACTCAAGCATTGATTCACATAATAAAAAAATTGTTATTTTAAATTGTTGAGTGGGGTTAGAGCACGAGTTTGTTACAAAACTAAACAAGTTTTAATTACAAATACCGAGTTTTTATTAATTCAAAAATATTTAGTTATCATAAACGAATTTTCAGTTACCATTTACTAATATATGGAACCACCTGCTATATAACATCAACATAAGAGCTTATTTCATTTATTTATCCCAAAAAAATCACTTAATATGAAGCACATATGCTATCATAGAAAGATACTTATACCACTTGACGACGGGTTTATTTCATTCACCCCAATGAGGTTGCTTGATGTAAAATGTTGCTAGTAAAAGGTATTAGAACCACTTGATATATAATACTTTTGAATAACAGCGGAAGCATTTCATATCAAACAATTTTAGAGGGTAAATGAAATAAAGCATCGCCATAATAAATTAGAAGCTTGTTTCTGAAATTTGTAATGGTACTAAACTTACAAATTAAGTTTATGAATCGTATATAAGGCCAACTAGAGCCTAAAATGGAAAATGGGTGTCCAAAATTCAATAAAGTTGAAAATACTGAAGATTTCTCAAGGCATACTATCAAAATTTACCTCTGCTGTTGAATAGGTTAAGAAATATGCTTGTCTTGTGTCGTGCATTAGTATGTAGATCTAATGTCATAAGCCGATTCCATCCAAAATCTTCTCTTGATTTGTGTTTTTTTGAGATATAACCACATGTGAATGAAAATAAATACATAAAACACTTTGGATTTTTAAATACATACATAAAACACTTTGGATTTTTAAATACATACATAAAACACTTTGGATTTTTAAAAGCTCAAGAGAGCTCAGATCAGAAGAGGATTCTAATCTTAGAGAAATTGTTCTTCATGAAAAACTAGGCCAGACCAAGATTTCCACCCAACCAAAACTTCTAAACCCTAGCTGATTTATTATCCTTAACTAAAAAGCTTACCTAGTACCTCCAGATATGAATCATATGGCTTACACAAATGAAGTTGCATACCGTTTTTTTTTTTCTTTTTTTTCAATGAGAATACATTTGTGTGATTATCTACTGTACAAGGGAAAACAATGAGGGAATACATAAACAAAAATAAGTAATTTAAAAAGAAAAGAGAGAGAGAGAGAGTTCTGATCAAGAATTTATCTGGCCAATATAAGATGATTGTTGCCTTTTGATGAAATTCATTATGCTTGATCCATCGCCTTGCATCACAATCTTACCATCTTCCACATAAAGTGCCCCATCCGCATATTCAAGTTCTTCTAATCGATGTGTCACCCATAAGGCCGTTACATCTCCAGAATCACCCAATGAGTTTTTGACTGCTTTAATCACCCCAAACTGGTATAAATAATGAGAGAAAAACAATCTTGTTCAGAGAAAATGTTGAAATTGTCAACAAACCACTATTAAGAGGTAGCGTTGAAAAAATAAGCAAACAACATACAAGAAACTGTGCACATGATTCATCACCATTATAATCACCCAAATTGATTAATGTTGAAGCTAAGCTGCAGATCAATGATCTTAAAGAGGTTTGTCTAAGTGTATATTATTTTTCTGGAGCGTTGAATTAATTCGCAAATTAATGTGAAGCTGCAATTTTAGCTTGGCCTTGGCATATTTCTTATGAAAAAATTATAAAGATGTAGAGTAACATGCAAGGACACGGATTGATTTTGTCACATTGTGGTCCGTCCCCCAAAAGTTGACTTGTTCCATTTCAAAGTCAAAAAACTATCTTTGAACTATTTTCACATATGTTTGATTCAGTTGGGAGGGAAAAGAATTAGGTATGTTCCAATGATTTGATGGTTTACTTGTTTTCTAAATTTAAGATTATATATTTAAGTAGATTTAATAATGACTTGATCAAAATTTATATATTAAGTAGTTTAATAATTGACTTGATACATTCAACAAAATGTTGTGTGACCCTCAGATTGTGATTAAAATTAATGGAAATCCTTGACCGTAAAAAGATATAGTTAGAAATTATTAAAATACATGTGATAGTATTTATGCAAATTTAATTTTTAAAATTATGGACAGATCATAATACTATATTTTTTTTTCACTATTTAAGGGTGTGTTTGGCCTTTTTTGTAGTGAGCACTTGTTAGTTTCAGAAATAGTAACTTAACCCTGTGAATTTGGGCCTTTTTATAGTGAGCACTCGTTGATTTCAGAAATGTTATCAATTCAACTTCAAATTTATCAACAATTTTTCATCAATTTAACTTCCAAAAAATATATTAGCCTCTAATAATGTTGACATGTTAAATTGAAAATTAGATGAATAGTAAAATGTCCGGCTGTGTTTGTTTTATTTTTGAAGTAGTATTTTTTAAAAATTAGAATTGAGTGTTGATTACAAAAAGATTTAAAAAATAAAAAACACCTCATAGGTTTGTTAATTTAGCTAAACACCCCTTACAATAAAAAATTTATAATTAACAAAACACCCTCACACACCTACATTTGTCAGATTCCTACTACTACCGTCAGAAGATGGCTGAAAATGACAAATGTGGAGTATGGAGGTGTTTTTGTCAATTTATAAATTTTTTTGTTAAGGCTATTAATAAATATGAACCTATGAGAGTTTTAAAAGGTTGAATAAAATAAGATTGAATTTTGATAATAGATGTATTTTTGGTGGAATAGGAATAGGATGGGGAAAAAAAGTAAAGCAAAACAGCGCGTGTATCCTTAAAAAAGGGAGGTTAGGATCGCATGTTCAAAACTAGTCGCTGCTCACACAAAAAGCAAACACATGAAGGTTGGAATCGTATTTTCAAAGCTAGCCAGTGCCCTACAAAAAAGTCAAAACACATGAGAGTATGCTGTTAAAAAACCCACTACTTTCAAACGATTGTATAGTTGATGTTACATAATATGTAGAATTATTACCTTAGAAAATGAAACATACAGATATGAAAGTTTGTAAGAAATTGTATAAACATAGTTGATGTTTTGTTTTTTCGTTAGCAAGAAATGAAAACCATAAGTTTACCATCAAAACATAATTATTTATAATTAATAATTTGACTCACTTTAAAACTTAGTTGATGAGAAAATATAAATTATTATGTCTGAAAAAATTGGGCTGACATCGAGTCTTGTAGTATTGGGCGTCAGAGTTTATGTAGTTCTGCAGCCATTCAGACGCAGTCACAATCGCATACTGACGTGAGCGACATGCTCCTGTCAGGCAGTGGGTGGCGCAGATTGGCGAAAGGCTGGAGATGTTTCACGTGTCCAATCCCTGCACAAGGCGAGAGGAAATCACTTGAACAGGTGAGCACGGGACATAAAGAAGGATTGCAGTGCAATCTGACAACTCCAAGATTCAGGATCATTACCTCAATTCATCCTACTATAAAAAGAGGGTTCCTCTCCGTTCGTGGAATTAGCTAATTTCACTCTATAATAGCTATTCTCTCTCTCTCTCCCTCTTGTACTCTCAAAGCTAAAAATCAATCGCTAGACGCGACCCATTCTACATATTAATACAATATCAGTGGACGTAAGATTCACTTGTTTAAGACACGAACCACTTAAACATTGTTCTTCATCTCTTATTAACCCAATATCTCCATATACACGTGTTTCTTCTGAGTCAGCTAACATTTCTCATATGTAGTTGGTGTCAAAATCAAGCATCAACAATAATAATATATTTCATTAGGTAAAACTTTTTTTCTTTTTTCATATAATATAATCATGACTGATCCTAATGATATATAGATGACACGATATGGTTAATCTATTCGAAGCTTTTTTCTTAAAACAAATAAATACATCGTGAATAAATATGCGTATATGACACATCCATTATACCTAAAATTGTATTTGAAACCATGTCACATGTGACCAATCCATGTCCTTTTCCAATTTCGTCATGAAGGAATTGTCATTGTCATTGTTGGTGCTGTCTGACAGTCTTTTGCGCTGTCTGGGGCATTGGGTAGGCAGCTACAACTATAAACAAACTTGGAAGCATGTACAAGAACATAATTTTTTTAGTAAAATCTATTTTCTTATAGAATGAAATAAGTTGATTTGTCCCAAATGTTTTCGTGGCTTACCAACCCCATTTGAATAACACTTCACCTTCACATAAAACATAGAAAAATAAAAGTAAAAAATCTCCCACAATTCAAAAGTTAGATATATTTCCATTATAATAGTGAATGGATCTAGTTGACCATACTTATATTAACAATCATTTTAATAGCAAAAGTGGATGTATCATGTACATCTGGGTTTAAAATGCAATTTCCAAAATGGTGGCAAGAGTGGATCTTTCATATTAGTGTTACCAATTTAGGTTTAAGAGCATCTTCTGTCACCTGCTTCCTGGTTGTCCCATTTCCACGCCATATCTGTAACAATTTTTTAAAACACACACCTAATAGA